GTTTTTCAAATTTTTTAAACATTTTGTTCAAACTAAACGCATTTGTAGTTTATTTATTTTTTAAAAAAAAATAAACAAAAAGTAATTTATAAAATTTTTATAAACATAAATATTACCCAACGCGACCATAGAAATGATTATCTATCTCGTATATAAATACAACAGTCACAATCTTAACTGGCTTATGAAACTATTATATCTAGGTCTAAATAACTGTTGTTGACGTGTATCAAAAGAAAAGTATTAAATCATGAAATAAAGATATGATTTGTGTACAATTATAAAGGCATAACAATATGAAGAACCAAATAAAATAAAAAAATAAAAATAAAAATAAAAATAATGTCTTTTTTTTCTTTTTTTTTCTTGTCTGGGAAAAGGGTGTATGTAGATCAGTGGTATGCAAGAAAGGAAGCAGTTATTATAAAGATGAGACAACCAAATACATGAAATATTTTGAACAGCAGCCATTATTTTGTGATCCCAATATTATACATTAATTAATTTTTGTGAAACAAATGAAAAGCAAACACTCGAGACCCTCCCAAGTTCCAACCCTCTAGATCTATATGCCTTTATTGACGTGCTATGACAATTTAATTTATTAGAATGAAAATTTTAAGCAAAGATATTGGCAAATACAATTGTAAATCTTTTAAAATCATCAATCAAAAAAACAAAAAGAAAAACCATTATAAGTATCAAACTAACCGTGTCACAGTAAACAGGTCATGTAAATCAACTATAAAACAATACAAGTTATAAAAAAAAAATCAATAAATCGCGTAACGGATGGTATTTAAAAACTAAGTAACTTTGATTAATGAAAGCTAAAAGGTGAGTTTGTCAACAAGAATTTAATTTATTAAAAATCAATAAGTTCATAAATGGGATTCTTTCTTAGAATACTATTGAAGACAGTTTCAGTCAGTGACAGGGTTAGAAAATTAAATTAGAAGGGGTACTTATTAATTACAATATTAAAAAAATTTATAAAAATATTTCATGTAAGTTTTTACGATTGACTTCGAGAAACATCAGAAGAAAAATAATGTTATTTGTAACTAATGTATCATGGATAATACAAAAAAAAATATGGATATAAGTCTTAAAATAAATTATATAATGATAAAAAAATTTATACAAAATTTGATTAAAAATTCAATATAATGGTAATACTACGTCATCATTGATATGTGATATCACCAACTAATAGTACACAAACACATAGAGCGTAAACATCGCATGTCAGATGTAACTAATAATCTAATAAATTTTATATTTTTATATTGAGATAACTTATACTTGCATGTCAATAATAATGACATCATCGTTACATTCAAAAATTTCATAGATAATATGGTTTCTAGAAGTCTCTTCATTTTTAATTAAAACAACTATTATTGTTCTCATATTTTTAAAATGTCATTGACATTTCATTCTAATAATATTTTTTTTAAATTTTTTTATTTAAAATATTTTTTTTATACTTACAAAATTAAAAAATAAATAAATAAAATAAAATCTCAAAATTCAGGACACGTGACCCTCTGGCCCTTACCTCCTTCCGCCACGGGCTTCAGTGCATGTCAGTAGCTAGCTAGGTTGGCAATTATATGCTTGAAATCTGAACATATTATTATTATTATGAAGTACATAACTGTTAGTTGAATACATGATATGATTGTATCATTAGAGATTTGACTAACAGTATGTTTGCTCCAATTATTGATCTACAGACGGATAAGTCTCTTTGGTAATTATTTTATTTTTTAATTTTCAGTTTATATTTATAAAAATTTAAAAAGTATTATAAAAATTTATTTAATAATTTTTTTAGTTTATAAATAGTTTTCTCAATTTATAAATTTGAAAAAAAAAATATAACTCAAAAAATGAGTTTATGTTAGTTTTTAAATAGAAATTTAAATATTTGACTAACAAAAATTTTTTTTTCAATTAATTATTTTTTAATTAATTTTTTTATCAAATAATTTTTTTAATTAAATTTTTTTTTTCAATTATAATGTGTATCACCCCATTGTCATAAATAATAAAAAATAAATATAAATATTTTAGACCAAATAAACATATTTTGTAGTTTATGTTTTTTCAAATTTTTTAAACATTTTGTTCAAACTAAACGCATTTGTAGTTTATTTATTTTTTTAAAAAAAATAAACAAAAAGTAATTTATAAATTTTTTATAAACATAAATAAAAAACATAAATATTACCCAACGCGACCATAGAAATGATTATCTATCTCGTATATAAATACAACAGTCACAATCTTAACTGGCTTATGAAACTATTATATCTAGGTCTAAATAACTGTTGTTGACGTGTATCAAAAGAAAAGTATTAAATCATGAAATAAAGATATGATTTGTGTACAATTATAAAGGCATAACAATATGAAGAACCAAATAAAATAAAAAACTGTTAGCCGATGTGGACATCAAAAACAGCCTCCCAAAAAAAAAAAAAACTAAAAACTAAAACTAAAACTAAAAGGGGGAATAGATCTTTACAAATTTTGAATTGTCTAAGTCACAATTTAGCCTTTTTGAGTCAGCATGGCATGCAGTTGAAGGAAAAGAAGTATGATATATCATGAATATGGGTCCCCAACTTTACCTGAATCACAAATCACCCAATCATAAATTTTTTTTATGATCTTATCTCTACCTCTTGTTTGATTGAATTCCCCCATCAACATGGATGAACCAATTTTCCACTTAATATACGATAGTCGCTCTTATTTAATAATTAAATCTATGTTCATCATGTTCACTTTGCCACTAAAGCAAACAGAAGTATAAACACGCACACATCAAGTTAAAAAAATATATACATGGAGAATTTAGTCAATATACATAGTTGGACACGCCTTGTTCACGTTCATGGACAGTAATGAAATCCACTATAAAATGTAAAAAAAGAATACAAACTCAAGATTCAAAACGTGACATGAATTCATGAGTCTTAAAATAATCTCTATTTTTCCACTCAAAAAATAATTGAGTCATGAAGCTACTCCATGCTTCGGTATTTTTTTCTGTCTCTTTATAACTCTCAATTTTCCTCACTTGCTCCTAGAATTGTTACAAGTTTTTCATTTATAGGCAAATCAAGAAATTCAAGTCTCACACAATTGTAACGTTCAATCAATTTCGAGTGAATTTTGGATTTCTTAGTCTAATCCATATACATATAAAAATCAATAATTATATATATCCCTTAGTGTGGAGGTCTATGTTTCAAGACTTGCTGAAAGTAAGTTATTTATATTTGCCGATCAAAATATATATATATATATATATATCCGGTAGAATACAAGACACACTCTCTAAAATCTACATACAAATTGGTTCCATTTTGCCGAAGATGATTGATATGAAACAATGAAAGGTGGCACATAAGCAGCAATTGTGAAGAAGCTTTTTTCATGGGTGAAGATGGTATTGATATTATAGTGGTTGTTATGATATAGACTGATGGTGCGAGATCATTTCAAGTGTATATATGAAAAAGTCATATTCAAGTAAAGACGATGTTCTACACTTGGGACAATAGTGCTATATATGAGCTTGCTATCAACTTTTTTTTTTTTTTGTTATGCCCAACATGCAAATTGCATTGCATGAGAGAGTGAAGTGATATTCATTGTGACTCTTCGATGATATTCTTTTTCATCCCACTAAATGTAGTTATGATTTAGCGGAGTACTATATGGTCTCAAATATTTGAAAGAGAGTGATGTCCCTCACCTCCCTCTCCCTTTCTTTCTCTTTCTTGTTAATGTTAATGTGGGCACATTACACATACAGTATTCAACCCCAAGAGTTCTTTTCAAAAACCAAATGATTTTTAAAAATTGCAACTATGATCCATATAGTCCAAATGGGAGAATGGACTTAAGATTTTTTTTTTCTTTCCACGAATCCAACTAAATGCAGCTACGAATTTTTCAAAGTGATCTCTCTTTCACACACACACACTGTGTGGCTATGATGGATACCAATTTTGAAATATGGCAACCTATACAATGCTGAAAATCAATTTCATAAAAAAATTACTTAAACTAATGCAGAACATGCATGGATCAAAATTTATGAATTACAAATTGTTTTAATTTTTTGGATATGGATTAAAGAATTAACCCAACCATGATCCATTTGTTAGCCTTTTTTTTTTTTTTGAACGGCAAGAGAGATCTTTATTGATGAGAGCATACAAAGTATGATGAAAACATCAATAAGTATGAGAGATCCATTTGTTAGCCTTATAAAGCGTAATATTTTGTTATGACATCTAGCTTGGATTAAAATTACTTGATGTATTCAAATCTAGGCCTAGGACTAGCATGAGTTTGGGGTGTTTTAAAGAACTAAATAGTGTGTAGCTAAGTCAATATTTAATCTCAATTTGATCTTTTTAAGAGAATTCACTTATTAAAAAGTGCTTTGCCCAAGGAAGAAGAAAAATCACTCATATCACGTGCCAATAAAATAAACATAGGATCATATAGATATGAGCTTGCCAAACAACTTCGGAAAGGAAGTGTGTGGAAGTTGAATTTGATTATTAAAAGGCTTCTGATGATAAATTATATTGATCTCCTCTACAGTTTATAATAATGAATTTTACCTAAAAAAAATCACATTAATCTTCACTGTCAGGATTCGTCTGTTAACATCGTTAACCAAAAAGTAAAATTACTTTATTAGCCCTCTTAATTAATCCAAAGTGTAGGAGAAAGATTGCGCTACGAGAAAAGAGAATGAGAGAATAAGGAACAGAACTACAGTGGGGTAATGGTGATGCAGGGTGAATGGAAGGATATGAAGAGAGATAAAATAGCTAGCGGGGGGAGGGGTGGAGGCAAGTGGTGAGGTGGATTGCAAGAGAGCAGAAGGCAATTAATTAAGATAAAGATGAGGGTGGTGGCTATTGTGTAAGAGTTGAAGTTCTATTTAAAGAAATGAAGAATGGCAATTAATTAAGGCAAAGAGAGATTATATGCATTTAGACAACTTGCAAAGTTACATATTTCCCCTTGTACATAGCTAGTCACAAGATGTACAGGGCGTTTAAGCCAAGAGAAAAGACTTTCCTTTTCTTTTGTTTGTTTGGCTTCCTCTTCTTTTTTTTGTTTTTTTTTTTTTTTTGGTATTTTTAGTTCTTTTTTTTTTTTTTTTTTTTTTTTTTTTTTTTTTTTCCTTCTTGTTCTTCCATTTTTTTTCCCTTCCAACAAGAAGTTACATAATTTCACCCCACCCTCACACATTTCTCAATTGAACAGTGATACTTTCATTTCTTCAATCTGTCTCCGCATCCTAAATTGTCGTCGTAACGACAATTTTTTCCATTGTCGTTGTAAAGACATTTTTTTCCACTTCACCAAGCGTTGCAAAAAGTTCATGACCTATATAAAAACAATTTATTAGAAATTGAAGTTATAATAAGAAAATTGTATTAAAAATACTATAATGCAATACACAAACAATTTTTTATTATTATTAGACATAAAGGAAATAAGGATCGCGACAACAAAAACATGTGGAACCCATTATCTATGTCTAATGATAAAAAAATAAGTCAAGACCTGTTTAAGCATAGATTTTTTTCTTTAAAATAAGGCAAAAACATGAAACACAAATATGCATGGAGATTCTTGCCTCAGACGGCTCCTGTAAACAGTAAGATGCATTGGTGTCCTTGGGAATCTTGGAAACAAGAATACCAAAACCTTGTCCTCTGTCTCTTAAAACCTAATTCAAGTTAACATAACATGATTAGCTTCGATTTTTGAAAATTCATAATATAACAACTTAATTTTAATTCAATTTTGCACATTAGATACCTTAAATGCATCCTCATCCGTTCGATCATCTCCAATATAAACTGGAAAGACATCGGTACAATTTGCATAACCTAAAAGAAAGGGATTCATTACAAAAGTTAGTGATTAAACTATAGTGTGATAGTTATCTATCATTGTTATTAACAAGGAAATAAATTAATCAACTGAGGTGGCTACTTTTTTAACCTTTTTTGTTTTTTTTAATATTTTAGTTTCACTATTTGGATTACATATAAATGTTTCCAACAAGCAAACAAAAGACTTTGTGCAATGAATTGTGATTAATGCATAGAAATCAATAATTTAAACTCACCAAGAGACTCTAACAAAAATTCAAGAGCCTTCCCTTTGTCCCATTTAATTGTAGGACGGATCTCTAACACCTGTATTAATTACCGATAACAATTAAAGTTACACATCTCTCACTCATGCTTATGTACAAAAATTTACATCCTAATAAAATAATTATTTTGAACAATAATTGGATGCCATGTCACACCTTCCTTCCTTGAGTCAATCGAAGCTTTGGGTACTCCTTTAGCACTGACTTGACCAGTTGTGCCAATTCACTCCATTTCTGTACATTATTACATCTAGTCAGATCCTTTTCAACTTGTCTAATAAATATATAGAAACATATAATAAAAATTCCATTAACTAAGTGCCGGTTTGGCTAAGATTTTGGGGGAAAAAAATACAAAAAGACAAAATATACTATATAAGTCAATAAAATAAAATATCACTTTTTACTCGTAATTATTACACTTTTTCTCTCACAAAAGTCAAAAAAAAAATCCCAAAGCAAGAAGCAAACGAGACTAAAAAAACTAGGCTAAAAAAGTCTCAAGCTAAAAAAATTAATTATATTAGCCAACGTCAAATGACCCCTAAATAATATCAATAAATTATTTAACCCATAGTTTGGTCACATCGAAGATTATAAAAAATAATCCACCTACATACATACATGATATAAATAAATTGTATTGATTATTACTTGTGATGGGCACACTTATATATTAAATTGTTTGTATAATAATATATGAGATTATATAATTTTACCTTCTCATCAACGCAACGATAATGCACAGATAGACAAAACTTGTTATGTTCGACGTTAGCGCCAGGAATAGATTTTGTTTTATCCAACAATGTTTTGTAAACCTGAAAAATAGATAGTGAAAGAGAATGAATTAAACTTGAGAGTTCTAGAATAGTGGGGATGTGTCTCTCTAATGTTGTGGTGGGTGCAACACTAAGAAAAAGTATTAGCAAATTACCCTTAAAATTCGTTCAAAAGAAATTACCTTTTAAAATAAATAAAATGTGTGGACAGAACAAAAGTGGCCCACAAATTTTATTTCAAAATAGGTTTTAATTATAAATTTTCCTTTCCATATTTGGGTATGGTTGTATTTAGCAAAGAAAACCAACCTTGTCAATCATCGGAACGAATTCACTGGCCGGTTGGAAGAGAACAGATTGAGCATCCTGAAGATTACATAAATGCAAATAAAAATATTTAATACAAACCCATAATTTTTAATAATTTGGCATTTATAACAATTCTTTTTTTAGAAAAAGAAAAAAAGAAAAAGAAAAATAACTAATGTGCATATTTATATTGCTGTGAAAATACAAATACAGCTATCTCACTCACATTCTTGTCTTTGGGACCTTTTGAAGGGCCTTTAATGTCCATTCCATGGCTGCCAGCATAGTACAACTCTGCTAATTGTACAAAGCTATACACCTACAATTAAAGAACAAAGTTACAAACGAACAATTAGCTCAAGAACATATTATAAAAAAAAAATAATAATAATAATAATTCAGTGTACGAGTCTTTTGTTAAAACAATACAAAGTGATACTATGAAATAGAACAACTCAGTGTCCGAAATTCCCGTTAACACTTAAAACTAGTACGGAGATGGGTTTCTGTTTATGACGGTTATGATCATTTAATTAAGGAGTTTGGAAGAACTAAAACAGAACAAAATTAAAATTACTGAGAAATAAAAGAAAAGAAAACAAAGCAAATACCTTGTCTCTGCACCTCCCACTCACAATAGCAGTGGGAAAATATCTAGCAAGTTTTCTCACTGTAGTTCTCATCTGTGATATCAAAGTCATACAATCATGTTAGCAAAAATAGAGAAATTTGTGGATAAAATACAAGATTGGGCATGAGGAGGAGGATGAGGAGGAGAAGAACTGACCGCATCGGACATGTACGCTCGATCAGGGTCTTCGACTATGGGCGAAAGCGTGCCATCGTAGTCCAGAAACATCACTATTTGCTTCCCCTTTGAAGCGTTTGTTATCTGCTCGAACATTTCCAGCGCTGATGGGTGACGAAGCTGTTCCATTGAAGTTTTAGATTTTATGTGTAATTTGTCTTGACTAATCTCTCTCTCTCTCTCTCTCTCTAAATATGTAGAGGACATTTTTTGACTTTTTATTCCACATGTATTGAGTAATTAATTACGGCTCTGAATGGCCTGAAGATAGTCAAACATTTCATGAGATTAAAACTTAAATCTATGTTGAAACTGATCACTCTCTGCTAACCCATTAATTAGAATTTGTCATTTTGCCAAAAAAAACAATGCAGAAATCTATGTATATGTATGTATGTATGTATGTATGTGTTTTGTAAAGTATGTATGTATAGTATACAATACATATGTGTATGTGTATGTGCATGTGCATGCCAATACTCATATATACGGGTCCACAAGATGATGTGTTTGTGTGTGTCTATTTTAGTACCTGTACAATTTATGAAGAGAGAGAGAGAGAGAGAGTGAGTACTCACAATCCAAGAACTTTGGTCTTCAGAGAGAGAAGAAGGGGTGGTGGATTTGACATGGGTTGGTGAGGAAGCTCTCATTGAGTCAACCCAGGCGTTGATTCTTGCAGTGCCATTGATTTCGAGGTTCTGGATTAGCTTCCTCTTTGAAATGGTGAAGAAACTGCCCGGAGCCACCGGCGGCTTCTGCGCCGCCGTCGTGAACAGCGACGAGTTCGCCGCCACTGCCACTGTTATCGCCATGTTGATGGCCGATTTGGTGTCCGAAGCTACCACATTTTGCTTCGTCATCTTATCTCTTCCTTCAATCAAACTCACTGCAATAAAAACCAAAATCACATTATCAGAACTACATGATTTTGATGACAAAAAACCACCATCTTTTCAATTTATAAACACCACTAATCTCAAAATTGAAACATACCCATTTCAGCAAAAGTAAGGTTTTGATCAATACCTAAAAATCTCTGAATTTATGGGTTCGATCGTTAGGTAACAAGAAATCAGAGGAGAAAGCTCTGTTTTAGAAAAGAGGGAGAGTTTGAGACTCTGATTGAAACCAAGAACAAACCAAGTTTGAGGTCTCAAAAAAGCATCACAAAGATTTGTGGAAAGGGTTAGAGAGAGAGAGAGAGTGGGGAGTGTGAGAGAGATAGAGGGGGGGTTTTTAAAATAACTTACTAAAATAATCATCATTCCCAAGCACGGGAATAGGAAACGATGGTCAAGTCCTGATGGGAGATCCACTTGGTGGGGACCCCGACATCCTGACGGTACACCGTATTGGCATCTCTTCCCCGCCGTCTTCGCCGTCACCGTAACAGCCACCGCCACCTGGCCGTCTTCGTCACGTGTTGCTCTCCAGATGGCCTCTTCTTTCCATGTGAATATTTGCCACCACGAACCCACAACTGCTACCTCACCCTCACTTCAAAACAAAACAAAACAAAAAAAATTTTATTGTCGACTAATTTTACCATCCGTGTAAACTATTTGGTTCTATCGGTATTGAAAAAAAAAAAAAATTAGTACTGAATTGAATATTTAGATTTTTCTTGTATTTTTATATTTTATAATAATCATTTATTTCTATTGTATTATTTTATATATAATGTGTTATCTTAATTAATAATATAACGTCAGAGATATATATGAGTAACCAACTTATCACTAATGTGGCGGTAATCGTCACATTATTAAAAACCATAATATTACATCTATTTTATTTTTATATCTTCATATTATGGTTATCATTTTATTTGTTAATATTGTTTTGATATAACAAATCCCACCATTCCTTTCTTTTTAAATAAAAAATAGAAATAAAAAATAAAAAACGCACCACTAATATCTATATATATTTAATGTACTGTTGACACACTAAATAGTAAGACAAGATACTAAAAATACATGATTATTGCAACATTATTATTGAGAGAGTGCTTGGGCCCACTACAAAGTGTACTTTTTTTATCTTTTTATCTTTTTTTAGTCACATTATCTCTTTATTTTTTTATACATATTTTTATAAAAAATCACAAAAATATAATTATTCAAATCATCCTAAACACTCCCGGAATATGTGTAGTGTCACTTTAATTGTTGGCATTAGATCATATATCCTATTTCTTTGTACTACTTTTTTTTTTTTTTCTTTCTTTCTTTAAATTTAATGATGAAATAATAAGTGTGGAATATTACTAAGAAAACTAATGGTCCAGTTATTATGTTTTTATATCACATTTTAAAAACAAACATAAGTAATTGAACAAGCGTGGAGTATTACCAAGAAAATTAATGGTCCAATTATTATATTTTTATATCACATTTTATAAACAAACATAAGTAATTGAACTTATTAAATCGATATAATAATAACAACTTACATAATATGTCAAATGTTAATGAAAATATGATTATGATAGTGTTATTAATAGAAGAAATAGGACAAGAAATGAAACTGATGATATGTAATCTTAATAGCAACAGAACACTAAATTATTTGGTCTATTTTTTCTTATTAATATGTGAAGCCATAATCCCATAATAAAATCAAGGGTAAATTACACTCACCTCCCCTGAGGTTTCTGACAAATACAGGGACCTCCCCTGTAGTTTCAATAATTACAGTAACTTCCCTTACTTTACCTAACATTGTACAAATTCCCCCAATCCGTCAATTATACACAAACGATGTTACTTTTGTATACAAAATGACCATATTACCCTTTTATTTAAGCGTAAAAAGACAAAAATACCCTTTGATTGTAATATTCAACTTTTATTTTTATTTTTATTTTTTGTTCTCTCTTATCTCGTCAGATCGAAACACCGGAGAGAGAGAGGAAAGCGGTTAGTGTATGTAGGTGATTCTCTGAATAGAAATATCTAGGAGTCAATGGTTTGTACTTGAGAAATTCGATTAAAGATAAGAGCAAATTCTTTGAAGCCTCTGGTAGAGAACAATTCCGAACAGAGGGTTCATACTCATTTCTATTCACAGTAGGTTCTTGCTTTTCATTCTCCATTTTTGTATTTGATTTGGGTATTCTATGCTTTGCATTCTTGGGAGTACATGTTTTTGTGTATATATACATATATCTGTTAAACAAATTTAGAAATTAATTTAATTAGATTTTATTTTCTTTGCTAGAAATCAAAATATATTTTCATGGGTTTCAATTCTTTGTTGAAAATCTAAACAAGTGTATATGTATATATATAAAAATATATGTATATATATAAACATACTTTTGGTAAACAAATTGTTCCCATGTTTATATATTTGTATATATATATATATATGTTAGAAGAAAAAAAAAATTATTCCCATGTTTGAATGTGTGTATATATACATATATCTGTTAAACAAATTTAGAAATTAATTTAATTGGATTTTATTTTCTTTGCTAGAAATCAAAATATATTTTCATGGGTTTCAATTCTTTGCTGAAAATCTAAACAAGTGTATATGTATATATATAAAAATATATGTATATATATAAACATACTTTTGGTAAACAAATTGTTCCCATGTTTATATATTTGTATATATATATATATATATATATGTTAGAAGAAAAAAAAAATTATTCCCATGTTTGAATGTGTGTATATATACATATATCTGTTAAACAAATTTAGAAATTAATTTAATTGGATTTTATTTTCTTTGCTAGAAATCAAAATATATTTTCATGGGTTTCAATTCTTTGCTGAAAATCTACACAAGTGTATATGTATATATATAAAAATATATGTATATATATAAACATACTTTTGGTAAACAAATTGTTCCCATGTTTATATATTTGTATATATATACATATACAAATATGGGAAACAAATTGTTCCCATATGGCTTCAAAAAATGTTTTCATGTGTTTAAACAAAATTTCCTGTGATTTTCTTTTGATAAAGGTCTTCTTTAGATAAATTACAAAAACGACAGTACAAATTCCATCCCCCTGGTTTTCTCAACAAGATACTTGAGGGCATTATGGACATTTCAACGTATATCTTTGATGACATCAGTAGTTTCTGTTAGTTTTGTGAACGGAAGTCAAAAAATGGAAAATCTGTACAATGTCAGGTAAAGTAAGGGGGGTTATTGTAATTATTCAAACTACAGGGGAGGTCCCTGTATTTGTCAGAAACCTCGGGAGAGGTAAATGTAATTTACCCTAAAATCAAAGATCTAATAACTTCTAGACACCTATGGTTTGGGTAGGTACTTCTTTAGGAATCTTTTAAGTGTGGCATTCTTGAAAGTACCATGACAAAAAAGAAAAATATAGGCTCCATTTGGTAGGTCTCTCAAATTTTAGTTTTGGGAAATGCTAGAGAGCTCTAAATCTAGAACTCTAATTTGAGCTCTAGTAATGTGTCAAAGCAAAAAAAAAAACAAAACAAAACAAAACAAGGCACAAACATCACATCAGGGTAGGTCCCACTTTCCCATTAGAGCTATTAGAGCTCTTATATTAGAGCTCTAAAACATTTTTGTTTTAGTTTTACCCATTGATTTGAGTGTGTTGTTTATTTTGAACTCTCAAATCATAATTCTACACTCATTTCTCAAAACTCAATTCAAAACATAATCATTACTTTTCAAAACTCATAACCAAACACATAATTCAAAACTCTTTTCAAAACTCAATTTATATCAATATTTTATTTTTTTGAATATTTTATCATAATATGTTAAGATTTTAAATATTTTACGATTTTTTTAATTTTTTAATTTTTTGAACATTTTTAAATATTTTAATTTCAAAATATTACGATTTTAATTTTTTTAATTTTAAAATATTTTATAAAAATAAATTCAAACTCTATTTTATAAAAATATTTTTAAATATTTTAATTTTTTTTGTTATGTATTTGGTTACGATTTGAGTGTAGAGTTATGAAAGTAGTATGGAGTTTCGAATTATGTGTTTGGTTATGAGTTTTGAAAAGTAATGATTATGTTTTGAATTGAGTTTTGAGAAATGAGTGTAGAATTATGATTTGAGAGTTCAAAATAAACAACACACTCAAATCAATGGGTAAAACTAAAACAAAAATGTTTTAGAGCTCTAATATAAGAGCTCTAATAGCTCTAATGGGAAAGTGGGACCTACCCTGATGTGATGTTTGTGCCTTGTTTTGTTTTGTTTTGTTTTTTTTTTTGCTTTGACACATTACTAGAGCTCAAATTAGAGTTCTAGATTTAGAGCTCTCTAGCATTGTTCAAAATTTTCAATAGTGTGAAAGTAGTGTGTTTTATTATGAGTTATAACAATTTGAATTAAATTTTGAAAACTCTTTCTAAAACTCATAACCAAACAAATTTTCTTACTCCACGTGTCAAATCAAACTTTCAAAACTCAATTTCACACTCAATTCAACACTCTATTCAAAAATCATAACTAAACAAATTTTTTTACACTCAAATCATAATTTTACAACTTACAAACTCAAAATACAACTCATACTCTCAAATCATATTTACAAAACTCTACCAAACGCAACCATAATAATTTGAAAATATTATACAAACAAATTTTTATTTTCTTCTTTACGTACTAATGTGCATGAAGTCTTTGCATTTAAAAGTAAGCCTACTAAAATTAAATGATATAAATAACCATCACATCAACTTATAAAATAATATATATATATATATATTATACACTTGTGTAACATTAGTTGGGTAAATTACACTTTACACCTCTATACTTTACACGAATTTTGTTTTGATATATATATATATATTATACACTTGTGTAACATTAGTTGGGTAAATTACAGTTTACGCATCTATACTTTACACGAATTTTGTTTTGGTCTTTACTCATAAAATTATGATAATCAATTATTTACACTGTGAGTCAATTCATATTTTAGTTTCTATATTGTTACTTTATTATTTAAATTTTTAATAAAATTATTATATGACAAAAATGTAATTGCAAATAAGGGTAAGAGAAGAAAATCATTCTAATTTTTCACCAATGCACACTTTGTCTCAAAATTTATATCAAATTATGACTGTATTATGTTAAAACAAAACGCAGATTGTGAACGATTAAAAAGATGAATTAGGGTTTTGTATAAATTGAAACCACATTTTCACCCAAAAAATAAATTGGAACCACGAAATTCTATTT